CTTTATCATAAGGGTGCGAAACGATCCTTCGACATGGACCTAAAAGAAGAGATAGTGCATCGCGTCACGCGACTTCACGCCGTATAGTTTAATGCCATAATCATTTCACCGGTGACGTAACAATATCGTGATATTAATACACTAATTACGCTAATTAATATATAATAATATAATAATATGGCTCACTGTGATATTGCGGTACAAAAATAATATAAGAGTGAGAATTGTAGTCACATTCGTAATTGATAATAATTTTACATCGTTATTCGAGCTGAGATTCCAAATGATAACGTCACAGTGTATATAAATCGCTATAATATATTTATAAAAATATGACGACTAGAAATTTTTCGTGGTTGATATTTCTTCATTACGAAGAAAGGAAGCTTCTTCTTAATTTTCTCGGAGACAATCGTGAAAACCGCCACGACACGTAGGATGGAAACAGAGTACATTATTGAAAGACGGGCTAGCCGGGACTTTGTAAAATTTCGCACCAAGTATCCTCTACTTTCTTCCGACAATAATTCTAATTCGCTCGTTATTTACCGTGAAACTTTAGCAACTGCACTTCCAGTAATAACCGCGATTACTCGAAAACTTCGGTGCTTTCTGGTCTCGCTCAGAATCCTTCTTAAGGAGATTCTTCCTAAAAAACATTCTCCGGGACTACTCGAGCGCAATGTGACTTTCGTCAAGCGCCAATCTGCGTGAGTACCGTAGAGAGTTCTTTTATGTACGTATTTTTTTTGTTTTCGCTCTTTTTTCTTCGCAAAATTCAAATTAATATTGAGAAATACCGAGTGATTCTTTGAGCGTGAACGCGGCGAAGAATCTCGCAGGTTTTGGATAAAAGTAGGTAAGGAAATAAAAACGGCGGAGAGGGAAATAGCGAGGAAAGCTGATTTAAATAGCTGCGCGAGGTTTAATAATTTGATATCAAAATAACTAAACTGACGGTTCTCTCTCTGCTATATTCCTACGGGACGACTGCGTTTATATTGCTCCTCTGGCATAACAGCGAACCACCTGAAGATATTTCGCTGGAAAGGAAACAGGGAGGCGAAGGTCGTGGAAGGTTGATTTAAACTACCGACAGGAATCCTGTTGCCTATTCAGATTCCGCGGATTTGTTTTCTAATGCCTGTCAGAAGTCAGAACTCGGAAAGCCGTTCTTCCTACGAGAAATACACAAAGCGACTTTTCAATCGTGCATAACGAATCGATTCTGCTGCTAGGATAATTTGTGAATTTGATTTTTATTTGTAGTAAAATTTTATCCGACTTATGATACTTGTCATACATTTAATTAACATATAAAAAGATTTTTTTGCATTATATTCTAAGAGAAGTCGTAAAATTGTCAACTTTTCAAATCCAAATGTTATAAGTATATTGATTGAATATCAAAGTAAAATTCTGATAAAGTATGTAGGTAGATAGTTGCGTTTTATTATAATTTGTTAGGATTTTTTTGTCTAGCCCAGTTAGCAGATAAAGCGAGTGCTCGCAAATGGATGAATGTACAATGTTCCAAATTCGTCAATCGCATTTGCGAAAAGAATGAAGTGTCCCGAAAAGGCGGAATGGTAAAGTTGAATAATCGCAAAGTTTTTCCTTTAATCTAGCCAATGCGCCCTCTTTTGCCTCTCGTTCCCTTAAAACTTCATGCTCCTTTTCAACGCGGGGACGAGGCGAGTGGTTTCGACTATTTAATAAAATCTTTTATGGATTTGTGCGACGTTGCTTCGCTACGGATCAAAAACTTGGAATTTCTCCGTGTTGACAATTTTTCGAGAATTGCTTTCACGTAGTTTTCCATCAGAGACAAACTACTACCTTAAGAGAGATTGAACTGTATACTGAATCTTCTAACAAGAATCTTTCTATCTAAGTGGTTCCCGACTTTTCAAAAGTTTCGCGTATAACGAAGATAAAATTTTTAGATTTACCAGCGAGCTGTATAATGCTAAAAATTCAAGTTATGCAAATTATGATTCCGAGACACATGTTGTTAATAAAATATTAATTTCTCTTAATATTTAAATTAAAATTAGCTATAAATAATATTTATCGCTAATTTTTAATATTTTTAAACAATACAAATTTAAGCCTTGACGAATATTTAATTTAAAATATACAATCGTTAAGAAATTTTCTACATTAAAGAAACAAAAAAATTAAAAATTATCTGTATTTGAAAATTTTATTACAATCAAAAATTTCTACCCGCATATGTCGAAATCTCTGAAAAGGAAGGCTGCCGCGAGTGATGATGCATTCGGCAGCGAATTTTCCGTTCGGAAATCACTTACGAGCAGTCGTGATGTAACCGTCAACATCATAATTCCTTATCGGTATATGCGGGCTTTCTGTTTGCCAATCGCACCACGTTTCCCAAGTTTGTCACCGAGAGAGAACGCGGGTATTATAGTGATCGTGACTTGTCATGGCGCGTCTCTGACGTCAATGGGACAGTAATTAATTTAACTGAGTTATTAATTCTTGGAGAACAAGCGTTAATAATTGTTTTCGCAAGATATTGAAAATTGCTTTACAAAATATATGTATGCTACTAAAATTTTCTACGTTTGATAAAGTATTCATTTTATATTTATGGACAAAAGCAATTATTCAATTATAATGCCTCATGTGAAACGCTCGCGATTAAACAGCATTCGATTATTATTCGTGACTGGTGATTTGTATTCGCGAAACCGTCGGAACACCGGCTGAACGAAAATATGAGACTCGGTATTAATTCTGAGCAATTACCTCTCACTTTTCGTGACCAATGAAAATCTGATTTAATCTGGTTTCCATGTAAATGCGTATTACTCGCGCATTACGCACGAGCAAATTGTTCATTTGATCGTTCATAAAATCTTCATCTTTTTCAATCATCGTTTGCTACATTTGCTGACATACTTTTTTAGACGATAATATGATGTAGGTGCCTTGTAAACGATTATATGAATGTTATATTTGTGTACGTGCTTTATCAATCTTTAAAATATTAACGTTACTTTATTGATTTTTTTGTCAATATTATAAATATTGAATAAATTTACGTTTTTCTTTTACTTCTTTTATCATTATATTACGAATATATATACATATATTGAATTTTTTATTTATGGCAATTGTGTGCGGCATAGATGAGAAAAATGTACTGTTGTAATTTCCCTGTAACCTTTTTTTGAAAATTTATGATATTAACCCGGAGTATCGTCAATCTCTTTTTGAGAGAAAAAGGGGGGAAAGAGAGAGAGATGTAGGGAACATATCTATCTCCCTAATCAGAGCGTACTCGAGTGACGCGCGAATCGCCTGGAAGATCGCTGGTATAGTGTTGTGGTTGTTCCTGTCGCCGGTTGATGCTGCTGTTAGGCGAATGGTATATAACGCTGGCACGTCACGTCGTTGGAAACTGGGTTCTATCGATTTCGTATCAGTTCCTGGCATCTCTTTCGAGATATACATACAACTGCGCGCGCGTTTGCACGCACGCACGGTTGCACGCACGCATTGCTAGAAGTGTGCAGCTATTATATGTGTTCGTAGCACGTGTGATAACTGCACTTACATATACACATACAAACAAACAAACACACACACGCTTTCTCTCTCCCTCTCTCTCTCTCTCTCTCTCTCTCTCTCTCTCTCTCTCTCTCTGTTAGGGGAGAAGTGACAAAGCAAAGTGGAGAGGGAGTAATAGCAAGAGGGTAATGGGGAGTCTCTACCTTCGACTTCGAGCGCCCTAAAGCCTCGTCGTCTACAATTCAGTTGTGAGTTCGGTGCTTGACTATTGTCCTCAGTAGTCTTATGTAGGTCGCCTCGGATCAATCATATATCTCTCCCCGCGAACTATTATACATTATAAGAATATCATAAATAATGAAAACGTTAAAGATCCGCATTAGGCTGTTAATGATTTTTAGAATACACAAATAATGAAAGAAACGTTATTTTGATGGTATACGATTATAGATAAAAACGATAAGATAAAAGTCATTTTAGCTAAGATCAACTTGTACAATATTCCAACATATTATGTTTTTCTTAACAAGAATTTAATTTGAAATAATTGCATAAAAATGAAATAAAAATAAGTAAAAACGAAATATGAGAACCACATTTAATTTTTCTATGAAAGAAATTTATCTCACAAATTTTTATTACAAAAATATCGAGATGAAGTAGTAACTCTCGCAAGTCTCGCGAGGATGAGAGTAGAAAAGAGGCGCGGAGAGTCGTAGAGAGCCTTCTCATGTGGCGAGAGGCTAAATTGAGGATTTCACCGAAGGCGCCCGTAATCAGTAAGCAGGCATGGAGTCGTAAGATAGACTTACCTGAGCCGACGGGAAAATGTCATTATCAGGCTCGGTGTCTCGTGAAACCGATTCGAATCGGCGCCTCGTTACGCCGGCCCCCGGGACGAACGGACGGGATACTCGACCCCGTTGAAAGGATCTCGAGGGCGTCCTTTCAGACCAGCGATCCTTAATTAATCTGGAAATCGAATCAAGGAGAGGAAGGAGAGTCACAGAGTCGGCGTGCCGATAGATCGGATCGAAGGGTGAGGGAGGATCCGTTTGGTGAATCCGAGACGGTTTATGTGACCGCCCTCTACTCTTTCGACGGTTTCAAACGGGAAGATTGTTCTCTCCCGCTAATTTCTCCATTTATTGTTTACCCCGTCCCACGGCTCCTCTTTGACGTCTTAAACTGCTCTTATCTCGCCGGGTCTTTGTTACTTACGCAAATGATGTATATACTGAGTCACGACGACCGTTCTCTATCGTCACAAACGCCAACGAAGGGAGCCATCGAATCACGAGTGCCTCGAATAGCCTCGAATGTTGCTTCTGCTGCGTTTATCGATTTATTCTTTAGTATGATAATGATCAATTGATCTTTTATATTTGTGATAATTACCATTCGATAAAATTGTTACGCTAAAGAGGATGTCTGGTGCGCGAGAAATGTACCAAACCAGGTTGATTAAATAATTGTTTTATTACTGCAATTGCTTCGACGATACTCTGGATCGTGTAAAATCGCAGAACAAAAGCGCCGTATCCCTTTCTTTACACATAGAGTTCTCTCTCTCTCTCTCTCTCTCTCTCTCTCTCTCTCTCTCTCTCTCTCTCTCTCTCTCTCTCTCGCATGTCTCGCTGAGGAAGATCGGATGTGGAGAATATAGTCGAATTAACCACATACTTATGCTACGTATGCCGAGGTTGAGCCGTACTTAGGATTACGACCCGTATACACTTATGTTTCTTAAACGATATTTCTGGTCTGACGAATGATAGATATATATTTCTCTCGGACGCGACGTTCCAGCCGCGCGTTATAGCCTCCTCTCGCGCGCGAATCCCGATATATCGCTCCACGTTACTTTCATCGTGTTTCCTCCGTCATCCTCCGCGGTCCTTCCGTCCGTTTAATTATACACGACAATTTGTAATGCTAATTCACAATTATACACTATGTACAATCGTCGTGCGCCCGCCGCCGTTCCGACCTACTTTACGGTAATGTTGTATTGCTATATCTCCGACTTATATACGATATACGGGGTTCTAAACACTGTGCACACATGCGAGCGAAACGTGTGTGTGGATTGCGCGGAAATTCGGGACGCACTGTTGTGTGCCGCACTCGATTGACAGAGATAAGCCGATGATGATACGCGATACGTTTTCCTGGATCGCGAGAACGTGTAGAGACGTATACACTAATTAGCACGTACTTTTAAAGGTGTCGGCACCGCGGATTCTCCAGCGTAGTCGATCGCGAACTAGCGCAACCGGCAGCCGACACATTAAACACGCAGAAGTCTGAGACTGTTGTAATGAATCACGTGAATCACGGTCATCGTCCAGCAAGTTAAAATGGAGTAAAGTTCGACGTTCGACCTTGCGCCCGATCTAGGGGGTTCTTGGGCGAGACGCTGGTTGCTGGCGGCGAGAGTGGCAATCTCGATGGTCTTGAGAGGTTGGTCATCAGCGATTCCCGGTAGTGTCGACTGACAGATCAGAGTCAGGCTGCCGCCGGAGAAGTGATGCCGTTCCAGGCGCATTGTCAGGCCCAACCGCGTCGCGGAGAGCAGCCTTCCGTCTATGTTGCCACCTCCCCGCAAGTCTTTGGTTAAGGCTCTGTTCACCTAGAATCAGTTACAGAGCTTAAAACTGTAATTTACGGAGACCGTATATTTTAACTTTAATGGCGGTAGGATTTATGCTGTAGCCGCGTGTTTCCGAAATACCTAATAATTAAAAAAGATTGCAAAGGAAGATTCTAATTTCGGTCTTCGATTGTAAATTTAATCGAGTCTCTTGAAGGAAATGGTGACAGCTCTAAAACGTCGTTTGTTATATCAATTTTGTCTGATTTTTATTGTACAGCATATTTTTTGTCAGCGTAGCAATCCCGTTGCGCGAGTTTATTCTCGAGGAATTAATTTGTGGCTCGTAGCTCTCTGTATTTATTGAGACTTGAACATGCGGCCGGTTAGCGGGCGAAATAAAAATGCCCATGCGAACTGGCCTCGCTTGACAAATTGTCGTTGAATAAACCGAGTAGTACCTTCTCGCGAATGACGTGCGCAGCGTAGCATTGAATAATGGGAGTTATGTGGTTCCTAGTTCACCATACTCGCTTAACAGCCCGCGGAAGCGAGCTTTGGATTACGTTGCGCGATTAATTACGAAATTTTCGCTCGTTTCGTGTTCTGCCGACGATATAGGATGCCCTAAAATGGCCTAAAAGTAGCTAAATAATATTTCAGGGATAAATATTCCGGTCGATCTTAATAAAAATGTATTAATAAGTTTTTTAAGTTATCAAAGTCAAATTCAAGCTAAAAAAACTGAAAATCTGCATTTGATTAACAATTGTTTTTAGAATAAAACAGCTATTCCTTGTCCAACACAATCGATTTCAATGCGCGAGCGGAAGTTTAAGGACGTTCTCTCGTCCTTATATATACTAGAGAAAATCGATTTTCTTAGGATTTTTTTGAAACTGTGAATATACGTTAATTTAGGTGTGCTTTATGCGTGGTATAAATTTCAGTATCTCTTCCGGTATAAAAAATCAAGATACTGAGCCTCAAAGTTTCAACTTTTACTAATGAAAAGGTTTTCCAGGCCAAACGATAAGAGATACAAGGTTGGCCAAGAGGACCAAAGTTTCTCCTCTCGTCGAGTTCTATAAGGAAAAAATGCCAAAACTAAAAAAAATTAAATTAAAAAAAATTTTTTTTTTGAAACTTTGAGGCTCAGTATTTTTATTTTTTATACCGGAAGAGGTACTGAAATTTATACCACGCATAAAGCACACCTAAATTAACGTATATTCACAGTTTCAAGAAAATCCTAAGAAAATCGATTTTCTCTAGTATAAGGACGAAAGAACGTCTTTAAAAACGTGCCTCATATACATATACGATATACAATCTTGGAAGATTGTCTTCGATCGTCTCTTTGAATTCATGTGACCCCACGAAAATTTAACTGAAACCCTCGCTCGACGAATATATCATCGACTCACCTCTTTATCGTTCAAAATGAACGTTAAAACTGCCGGAGGGTAACTCAAGCCCGACGTGCACTCCGCTTGGAGGATCTCGCCGACTTCGTAAGAAGGTCGCACCCCCTCGAGTACCGGAGCACTTTTAGGCGGCACAGCCACGCTCATGTTCGCCTCTCTGTAATCTGTCTCAAAACTCGGCGCTTCGGATGACACCTCGCAGCCATAAGACCCCGCCAACTCGACTTTACCTGTGATATCAAGACAAAGAAAACAGATATAAGCTTAAAAAAGGCGAAAAAAAAAACTTTTTTTTATTTTATGAATATATCTGAATAAGCGATGCTAAAACGCGATTCTTTTGAAGACCCATCAGAGAACCGATTATTTATCAACTTTAGATTATTAACTTCGACTTTACTAAACTGATGAGATATCATTAATATCTGAGATAAATCTAAGATAAATCATTGAACTTTCGACATTAACTTTAATTCTACAATAGTCTACATCTCGAAATTACATTCTGCTACAAAAATGATTGAAATTGTACAGGAGAGATTTATTTTTTACACGAGAGATATATAACAGTGGATGTGCTCTTGTAATTCTCGCTTGTCGCGCACCTTTGCGGGTGTTCGGGCCCAGAAGTGTCACTTGTTTGTGGTCACTCTGGCTGAGGTCGATGTACAACCCGCTGATATTTTGAGGTCGCTTGGGCGTCAGTGATCTCGGCATGTATCTGAAGATCTCCTGGCCGTCTTTATTCCACGTTACCGAATACAGATCCTTACCGCCGAGATCGTATTCGCACTTGAGTATCACCCTCTCCCATCTTGGATCGGCGATACTGGGCACCTCTAGTTTTCGTATCTCCAATCCGGCAACACCTGTGCAACAAAAAGCACGAACAATTTTTTTACATTTCTGTACGTTTAAATATATACTATTGTAATAGCATAAACAGAGAGTGCGCTATAATAATATTAAGCGTCGTTAGGATATAAATAATATTAAATAGTATTGAATTAATTTAAGCTGCAAATCTTCTCTCAAAAACAAATGTATTTATATCTAAATAAAAGTAAATTTTGCTAATAGGATTTAATAACTAGATTAATATTGAAATGCAATACTGATATGATAATAAAATTGTCCTGATTTATTTCTTTGTATTATCTTACGCTGAAATAAATCCCAGAATTTAATTCACTTACTCTGTACGATGATACAATGGAACATAATTCAAATAATTTAATTGGCTGGTAATTATAAAAAATTAATCCGACGTTGAAATCTCCACTCCCGAAAGATCTCGGAAAATATAGTTATTAGTGGAAAATTTTCGATCCCCGCAAATGGAAATCTCAGCGGAAAATGGCTCCGCGATAGTTGACATGCGCGCATTAATTTATTTAGCGTGCATCCGCAGAGCGATCGGGACAAATACAGCGGTAATTAAAAATATTCGATCAACCGAACGCAATTGAGTACGCCAAAGCGGCCTGAAATTTAAAGTGGTCGTGAGAGCCAATTATTATCGTGCAAACCTCTTCAGAATGCAAACAAAAAATTCATCCGCAGCCATTCTCTCGTCGATAATGTATATGCGGTTTACAAAGGTTGCGGGAAAATTTTGTGCACTAAATAATACATGATGTGATAACAACATACGTCATCATTCTATGTAATCGAAACTTTGATGACAAAAAGAGCTATAAATGCCATTTTCCGAGAGACATTAATCCAAAAGTATCTTTTACTGTATCTCATCCCAAAATGAGGGTGTTGCGAACAAAATGACAGTTGTTCGCTAAAGTAGCTTTTCCTACGATTTTTTTGGCACTTGCAGTTTGAGGTAAAATTCACGATTATTTCGAAATAGTTATACTGTTACATTTATGCTGAGCGAAAACTCACTCGCAAAGAAGTAGATACAGGCTCGAAGTTATTTTCTCTTGTGACCTCGTTCAAGATTCATTATTAAGCTATCCATTATATCGTGTCACAATTCCGTTATGGATTGCTAATATATTATTTACTATTTGTGTCCCACGTGTATTGATAACGTATTTATTTTTCTTTCGGTTTGTTGTTTGAAAAATTATAGGACAGTTTTGCTTTCATATCATGAAATATAACTATAGCAAATAAAACTATACATATAACAATATATGTATAATAACAATATAAAATATAAGAAGTTATTCCATTTTTTGTACACCATTTATTTAAAGACAACGGTCACAACGACGTTAACAAAACGGGAGATTAGAAGAAAAAAATCATCGGGGATAGTTATTTTCTTTCTTCTCACGTGCGTCAACACATACGCAGAACACGTAGTTACATAGCATTTATTGATTTATTTTGAGAGTACCCCTATTTTGATAACACTCAATTTTATGGCACATCGATGTTTTACATCGTTTCGAATATTGCTACGTATTTTTCTGTTAAACACACACACAAGCCGGAACACAAAACCAATATACGTCGAAATTTTATGTTCAACGATGTTTTACACTTATAAACGCGCAGTCCTTATGACACGTCCAATCTTTATACGATAGCTCCTCCCTAATAGCTTTCATTAATTTACGTTTTCATTAATGGACGTTGACAGTCCCGTTTCTTCACGTGTATACGGCGCGACTGTGTTTTTCTTCTCAGCCGAGAGTTCCTGTCTGGTTAACAAGTGGTTTCGCGGCGGTTTGACTATTCGCTTCGCAGAACAATAACGAGCCCTTTTAAATAATTTGTCGGCTTTTCAGGGCTTTGTGTTACAGTAAGCAGTAGTTAACCGAGAACACAATAGAGCCACGCGGACCCCTTTGACCCCGTGCCTGTTAGTCCGCAGGGCTGACGAGCACGGCTGGTTTCGGAGTGCAAACTCTAGGACAAAACCGCGGTACCTTGCTTCTTTCCCGCGCGTGCCTCTGATACGAAATATTCGTCTCACATTGAGTAAAGTATATTGTACGGTATTGGGATACGAATGCTTCCCCGACGTGCTTTACATTCTAAAGACGTAAATATTGAACAGCGTGTCGAATGCGCAAATGCGTGGAATTGCGAGTACGTTAACGGCAAACAAGTAAACTGACATGATACGATCAAATTTAGCATGTTCCTAAAATCGTTAATTTATTATTTATACAATTAAAAGGGTTGTTTAAAATGATCATTAATTTTAGACCGATTGTTTTTGTTACAGGGTAGGATGATGATCTGGACTGAGACGATCGACTGGTGATCCAGCATTGGCTAATTCGGATATTGTCGTATAGTCTGTCGGCTAACTTGCGTGTTTTGAAGGTACGATATCACGGCGCACAATCGAGCGGTCCGCCAGTCCTTTCTCTCGAGCCTCTGTTTTTCTGTTTGCGAACACGCGGGCTTCTCTCGCGAGCCAATTAAACCAGCAATTAGCTTAATAAATTAGCGATTTAATTAATATGCCACGCGACAGGACGGACGGACGGACAGACCCGGCTCTCAAGACAATAGCGAGCGAGGCCATTTTCGAGGTCGACGTACCGTCGAGGGCCGTCCACTAGTGTACCCTGATTAAAGACTCCCACGCGTATCGGGGAATCCCGAAGGATCAGAGCGGTGGGATTCCTTTGAAGTTCGAGGATTGATTCGCCTTGTCGCGGGTTCGAATACGACGAATACGAACAGGACACGGGGCTTCCTTATTCGCCGCGCTGCTGATCAAATGCAAAGCCGATACTTTGAATTTTATTCCACGCCGTATATCCGGCAAGGGTCTAATTTTACCTTTCTCCAACTCTTTCTCTCTCTCTCTCTCTCTCTCTCTCTCTCTTTTTCTCTCTCATCCTTTTGCAATGATTTTGATCACACACTGATTATTCGAGAAAGATCATTTCACCGTTATAATTTACTCAATTTACTCAATTTTTATTGCTAATATTTTGTTTTACAATAACTTCATATATCCCTTTATATTGTTTTAATAAATTTTATGAAAATCGGGTTTTATTCCATTCCGCGCGTTTATCGCTTTATACAATACGTCGCAAATTTCCAAATATTGCATGGCAAAACTAAAAGGGGGCATCAGTGATTTATTATGAATAATTTATGATCGGCATGCCATTTATTTTCCGTTTGATATTATTTCTCAGTATGCGCGCCTTCTCGCCCGCAGCTGTGCTGTGTGCGAGCTTACAATTCAGGCTTACGGGCGCAACAGCTTCCGATGCATTGAACGCGGCCAAGTTTTTCTTATTCATTGCACGGTTGATCAAATGCAAAGCCGATACCTCGAGTTTCATTCCATTCCGCGCGTTTTACACCGCGGCGAATAAAAAGTTTCGACTATTCATCGTCCCCTCGTTTCTTCGCTCTTTGTAAGTAACGGTGAAAATCGTATCTGTCCTTTTTATGTCTTAGCGTAGCTCATTGACAGCGTTATGCAAACTTTTCATAAAGAATATATTTTAAAGAATAACAGCCGGAGAAAGGATAGGCGGATGTAAATCCGGTATGGTAAATCGATATATACAAAAGAAAGAGTAAAGGTACATTATGTTACACGGTTATATGATTCTTTAATAATACGATTCTTTAATAATAACAATTCCAATATAAGTCTGAAATTCATATTTTCTCTCGTGATATTCGATAATATCGCGATATTCCGTGTGTCGAAAATAAATAGTTCGGCGTAACATAACCGGTGCATTAGTCACGGCAGGCGCGTTATTGTTTGCCCTTTGTACCTTTCGTTTTTCTCTGGCCACGGGACACCGGCTGCGTTTCTGGCTGTCGCGAGCAACAGTTTCCGGCGCGCGGTGTACACACAAGGTTTCCGATTCGCGCGACAAACTATACCCGCGCCGCGTTAATCGCGTTATTTGCCCACTAATTAAGCACGCGCGATAAATTTGGCGCCCAGGCGGCGGCGGGAGGTGGCGTGTTTATTTGTATGTCGTCGCACGTCCACACATCGATACGCTTTGCTCGTGATTCTTTTTTACAGTCCGCCGGGCGGGGAGTAACCGGAGTAACTAACGATCGCAGTTGAATGTATTTGTACTCGATTTCTCTCTTTCTCTCTCTCTCCCCCCCCCCCTCTCTCTCCTTCTGTTTTCCTTTTCCAAAGATGTGTCATTGCAGTATCGAGAGTTTGCGGAATACATTTCTAGTTAAAGGCCGGGACTTATGTGCGCATCGCGATTTATGAAAACCCTCCGGGGCGCGCCGCGTTTCACCCTATCTATGGCACAGTAAAACGTTCAATTTTGGGAAATTTCTTGCGGGATGTTAACAGCAGGTGCAGCCGTTGCGAGTTAATTCGGGCTCTCCCGCTTTGTTCGGTTTGAAACGATTCGTTACAGCAGAAACTATTTATTTGCGTGAGAGTTGAAATAGCAGTAAATTTTTTGCGCTCGTAATTCGAGTTCTCATTCTTTCGTAACGAGATTATTGACCCTGTTAAGTCCTAAGATATGTCACTCCTTTTGAATCATTGCTTAAATTCTTAGCTTTTAGAATAATTTATTGCTGCAAACATTATTTGCATGAATTACACATACGAAATAAAATTTATTAAATATTTCTTATATCATTGTATACATTTTTTAGTTTGATAGTTAGATAGAATATTAAAACGAATATAAATTGGTTGAATAAAAAATTTGCATAAATATATACGGCGCGGAAACAAAACTGCGATACGAGTTGCCGTTAATTGCTTGCATTTAATTTCGATTGTTCATTTATTCATGAAAATCGATCGTTCGTCGTACCTTTAATTAGCACTGTACAATCAAGGAAAGAACGGCGATATGAAATTTAAAAACAACACGTTGCAATTACCTGTTCCATCATTACATCGCAATTAGTAATCCCTTTCAAATAA